ATCCTGGCTAACAACACATGGAAAGTTTTTGTCATGGAGGACATTCTTGGGCAGGAAGGAAGTCAGGACTGTGGCCAGGAGCCATTGTGGCCACCTGCTTGGATGTTCACTTCAAAGGACAACAAACCGACAACCCCAGCGTGCAACCAACCAAGCTGAACGTATCTGCGTGCAGAGTTCACCCAGTATTTGGGGCTGGGGCATAAAAGACCTTTGCCCAGGCTGTGTCTGACCCAGGAGCCTCAAACAACAGCAGCAATAGGATGATGGTGCCAGTGAGAGCTGAGCCAACATTGTGCTGGATGTGCTCTGTGCTGCAGTACATCTGAGGCATGCCATTCTTCCCACATATACTGCTGTACCCACCCAGTTATGAAAGAGCCCTTGGCTGCCTGCCCTGCTGCTCCAACATTGCATCTTTATCCTGAATTAAACTCCAGTCCAAACTCTGCTAATACTCCTTTCCATTATTGCTGTTTGGAAGGGGAGGACTCTCATGGTTTAACACCCTGGAAAGACTCTGAGGCAAGTGCCAGCACACACAGCAAGAGGCAGGTGGAATTGTTGTTCCTGGTTCAGTGTAGCTTGTGCAGGTCAGGACCGGTAATGGAAATGCCACTGGAGACTGATGACAACAACCACACCACTAAGCCAGGTTCTCTGGAAGATTTGTTTTCTGGCTCCATCCATGTGCTGATATCCAGGCTATCCCTTTCATGGTGCAAAATTCCATTTCCTGAAGAGAAGGGTCACTGACAAGGAGGATTGAGGAAAAACTGCTTGTAGGAATGCAGTAGCAAAGGGTCCAAGGATCCTGGAGGGCTCCCAGAGAAACAGCAAAAGGGTTCTTCTGTCTCTTGTAGGGAAAGGCAGGATGGCCTGATCTCCTGTGGTTAGACAAGCAGCCAGGTTCTTGTGTGTACTGGTCACACCTTCCTTTTATTTATTACATTTTTCCTTCTCAGCTGATTTCTCTGCATTTGCCCTCATTGTCTTTGCATACAGAGTGAAACCTAACTCTGGACCTGGCTCAACATCCCTTCTGTCCACAGGCCACTTAGGTAGAGCTTAGCAATTTACTGCCTCAGAATACCAGAAAATGGCCAGTGTGAATGGGCCATTGTACCCAGTGCTTTTATGGATGTGACTTCACATGAATCTGCACTGGATCTGTGTTGTTAAATGAAAGTGATAAGGAAACAAGAAATGAGAAACAAAAGACCCTCTGTAGAGGGTAACTCCTGCAATGTTCAAAAAACAAGAGAAATGAGGCTGTTCTCAGCTCTTTGTATGCATTTATTCAGGGCTAAACATCACAGACTATGTTATTTCTCTATGTTTCTAACCAGAGGGGCTTATTCTATCACCATTATATGGTATATTTCTGGGCCACCCTCTGCTGGGATGTGATGAATAGCATCACCCATTACAGTAACTGCAGCTCACCATGGTCTAAGAGCCAGAAGCAGGTGACAGAGAGGTGTAAAACAGACATGCTCTTTTCTCAATGTATCTGGAACAAAATTTATGCAAAACTGAAGGTGTTGGGGACAACTCAAAAGTTACCCCAGGAGCTGCTGAATGCCACATGAACAGAGAGTGAGGGGTCACTCATCTAGAGCATAATGAGAGCCCTGAGTTTGTAAGAGCTTGTTTCTATTACCTGTGGGTTTGGGTTATATTTGGCTCAGCATCTGAAGGTAATTGTTTATTGTGCATTTTATGACTGTTTACAAATGTGGTTTGAAGAAAACAATGGAATATGTAACACATTGTCTTTCCCCAGGTCTTCAGTCCATTAAGTTTGTATTATTTTAAGTGGCTAGACTAGAAATTTAAGTCATTGTTATTTATATTAGAGATAAAGCTAGGGATTCAGCTGAGCTCCAGGCTGCATTGTGAGAGCTGCTGTGTCAGGGTTTGAGAATAGTCTTGTTCTGAAATACAAAAGGATCAAGACAGGCTGGTTAATCCTATGATTAGATCTACTCATAAGAACAGGCCTTCATTCATAGTCCTACTGCAAGCACCTTGTGTTGCCATAGTCAGCCTTTTAGGGTTATTTTTTTAGGGTATTTATGGGAAAAAAACCCATATAAAGCAAAACCCAAAATTTACCACATTTAAGGTGTTGGCATTTAAAGAGACCAAGATGCCTGGTAGATTTAAGTGGCATAATGCTGAGATTAATTTGAAAGTATTTTCTGCCATGTATGAGGTAAACCAGCAGTTCCCACCTGCTGGAACCTGCAGCCTTACCTCACTTAGCTCTCATGAGAGACTTAGCCCAGGTCTGTAATGGCTGAGGGTTGTTTCATTGATGTTCAATGGCTCATCACTCTGGTTAGCCAAAACAGAGAGGAGTGATGTTTGTGCCCAAGGAGCAACAAAAAGATGCAGAAATTGTGGACAATGCCCCCAGCTGTCATGCAGACTTGCTGGGTGATTGGGAGGGAGTCTGCTAATCTCTCAATAGTTGATTCACTAGTTAATAATAATCCTTCCTTCTTCCTACTCTTTGTGTTTGCTATTTAGCTTTCCAAGTCTCAAAGGCAGGAAACATCCGTGTGAGATGTGCCCTGGCTGGTATCCCAAGGCCATAGTCAGGTGGGGAACTTCAGGGGGCAAGAGTGTTGGAAGAGCTCACATCCACGATAACCAGAAGCAGAACCTTTATTGAGCAGACAGAAGAGACCCTGGAGCTGAAATGGGCAGCAAGATTAAACTCATCATGTTGAGAAGTGCTGCCCCAAGGCAGATGGGGGAGTTGCAGAGGAGCTTGCCTTGCCAATTAGCACACTACCTGTTCATAGAAGATTATACACCATGCTCTAGGGCTGGCAAGCCAGGGCTTATCTGTTTCAGAACAAATTCTGACAGAGGCTGGGTGCCATTTCTGTGCCTCAGGCTGCTGTAGACTATTTTCCTTCAGCAGCAATTCTCATAAGATCTCAATCCAAGGTAGGGTTCTAGCTACCCTGAAATGTAAGATCCATTGCAAAATCTGCAGGCAATGGTGCTGGCAACTTAGGAGTTTCCTCTGGGCCTGGCATGTGCTTAAACTACTCATGAGCTATCTGGGCTCCTCAGCTTGATTTCCATCCTTGTTTGACTCATACTTTATTTCAAGGATTGTTTGCATTTTTATGCCTCTGAGACTAGGTCCCGTGGGAATTCTTCCCAAACTCGCTGCATTGACCTCCTGCTTTTCAGCACATAACCCCTTCTCAGAAGAGGTCATTTGATCCTCCACCATAAATACATGAATCAACACTTTATGCTTTTATGGGATTTTGCCTGAGTTTTCCAGTTTCACAACACCCCTGAAGGTGGGTCCAAGATTTGGTGGCACTCCAAAAATATTTGGTTCACTGGGTGGCACCCCTGCCCATGGCAGGAGGTTGGAATTAGATGATCTTTAATGTCCCTTCCAACCCTAACCATTCTATGATTTTGTGGTTCTATGGTTCTGTGGTTCTACAATTCAGATCACTGTGCTATAATGAGGTTCAAGGGAAGAAATCAGAGGAGAATTTTGAGAAAGCTTCACCAATTCTCCAGGTAAATCATCAAGCAGTCAATCACAGGTGTTAGCTTTATCCCAGCCTGGTAACGAGCTTAACACCCAATATCCAAAAGACCTAACCAAGTAGTTTACTGGGATAGACACCTCAGAGACAGGTACAGGACTGGGGAGCAGTTCTGCTGTAAGTCTCTTCTGGATCTCTGGGGAGGCCAAGACCTGTTAGGTCTTTATTTCTACATGGCTGAAACAAGTTCAGTCCCACCCTAACTATGGAGGGCAGTCTGTGAAAGTCAAGCTTAGGCATTTGTAGAAGAGTGCCCAAGAGAAAAAATAAAATAATTATATAGGCATAGGAATTCACAACTAGTACCCATCAAAACTCATTTCACTTTTCTGCAGTTTCAAAATAAACAGTTCATCTCTGTGTGTTGCACTAGGAACCAGACCTAGTTTTTCAATAGGAACCCACAATGTCATGGGTGGTTTAATGGAAAGCTCAGTGAAAGTTGCTCTCTTAACCCATTTTCAGGGCGTATGTACTTCCTGTGACCATGGACAAGGGCAAAGCAAGCAATACCTATAGATGCACAGCTAATGTACATATATCAAAGGCCTTTTTTGCTTGTATGTGGTCCACTAGCTGTCTGTGGGATGGTAAGTCTGGGCATGTATCTTGTATTGCCTGGTTAATCATCAAAGAAAGCGTGTCCCTCTGAAAATAACCCAAAGAAATTATGCTTCCACTAAAATGAGATGGATGTTCTGGCCAGAGTCAGAGTACTCTTCCTATGCCTCTGATCTGTGAGACAAGGACCTTCAACCATGAAATATGTAAAGGAATATACACTTCAAATGTATAAGATAATGGGCAAGTAAATTAAAAAAAGGTTTGCAAAGATATGGAAAGTCCTCTTGGTGGTGAAGGAGGAGTTGTTGAGAAAGTCTGGAGCCAAATGATTGTGCTGGCCCTTGCTGCTCCCTCCCTGCTCTGTGGGGCACATACATCTGCCTCACAGCAGGAGGAAGGAGGCTCCTGAAGGATGTTGGGCACCAGCCCCAGCCTTTCACACATCTCACTGCTCTGTGGCCTCAGGAGAGGAGTGGCTCTGGTGGGAAAGGATGGCAGCTCTGGGCTGCGTGCTGGGAAATGAATGGATGGGCCAACACCTCCCAGCTCCTTGGCTAAACCCAAGACCATGCTCCTTGGCTAAACCCATGTCTCATGCTCCTCTCTGATGTGGTTTGCACTTTACCAGAAATGCTGCAGCTGCTGGACCCAAAAAACAGAGCTCTCTAGTTGTTAGGGCAAGAAAACATCACTGAGTCTTGCTGATTTGCAATAATGCTGCTCCGTCATGGGTGTTATCCTGAGAAACTTAAATTCCTTAGTCCCTTAGGGCTTGTGGTGAAATGAATGGCAAAGCCTCAATCAGTTCAAGAGCAAAAAAACTGGGATTTTATTCAGGTAGGTGTTTCTTTCCCCTCCCAGAAATGTGATGAGACCACATCCTGTGCTGTAATCAGACAGCACTTGTACTTGTCAGTCACAGTCCCCCTGACCCTGCTCTGTACACAAACCAACACACACATAGGTGCACAGAGTCCAACTGAAAAAGAAAATCAAACCCTAACAAAAAACCCAACCAGCTTGCTCTGAAATCATTTTGGCCAGGCTCCTCTTATTAAATAAAAAGTTGTGATACAGTGCAACAATACATCCTGCATGCCAGAACAGGAAGAATGCTACTTTTGTGTAGGTAGGGAAATAGTTGTGATGCACAAAAGAGATACTGTTTTTCCAACACTTTGGCCAAACTTTACACTTAGCTTCTCATGTCGGGAGAGGGTGTGACAGTAGATAGGATGTAGCCTTTGAAACTCCATCTCCACAGAGAAAAGACAGATGGAATCCAGCTGGCGGATATCACACACGTTTTCTGTTCTCCTCCATATCGCAGATCTGATAAACACAGAAGAATAACAAGCCTTTATAGAATGCAGATGAACAGAGGAGCCTATCTGTATGTAAAAGAGAAGGGCCTCAGTTGACTGAATGCTTATTTCTCCTAAATGAAAGTTAACTCCCACGATCTCATAAAGCGAGAATCTACCTGCTTGAGGCACACATTTGATTACACACAATACAAATTTCTTGACCTCCCATGGCTGCTGTTATCCTGATCTCATTTAACATCATGTCATGTCAGGCTGAGATGGATACCAAGGAAAGGCCATGCAGGTGGAAGTTGTCCAGTGGAGTTTCCTGGGTGATTGTGTGAATCTCTGTCTTGGAGAGCACGATTGCTGGTCTGTGATCATCCAAAGCCTGCACTCCGGCTTTTAACATAAAATCTTAGAAACCTGGGAATAATGTGCTAAGACAAGTGTTGTCTGGTGATGGGAACCAGGAAATGGTAGCTGTGAATACCTGAGTGTGAATGACTCATCCAGTGACCTGCTTTGGCTCTGCTGTGTCCTCCTGTAACCTCCTCATTTTTCCTGCTTCAGATGGAGCTGCAAGGCTTTGTTACCCAGAGGATTTTGTGATATGATTCTGTGCTCTCCAGCAAACCTGCCACAATTAATAATAGAAGATGCCTAAATTAGGATCTGATGTTGCTCAGGCTATTGCTGTAGGTTTCACCTGTGCAGATATTGGGTCACATTCTAAAATGTTTTTGATTAATAGAGGATGATTTTTTATCTCCTTTTACCCAGTAAGGCAGCACTGTCTTAATGGAAAGTGAAGCCATGACAGAAGGTGGCATTATGCTCATTTTGATTTCCTCCCTGTACAAAGGAGCTGATGCTAACATGAATTCCCCACAGAGGTAAATTTTGTGTGTATATTTATTTCATTCATCCCTGTACTGGGACAGTACTCAAACATCTTTTTTTCTGTTTTCTCCTGTATAAATTACAGCAAAGCATTTCCTTCCTTTTCTGCTATTCTTTTATAGATGAAGGAATTGGTGTCACACAAAGGAAATTCCAGAACATGGACTCTCTATCAGTATCAGCAAAAGTCTCAATTGTCTCTTAGATGTCAGCTCCTGAGCTTGGCCCACTGCTACCATTTAAATCTATTTATAATTTATGAGGTCATGGCCATAAGTTTTTCTTTTAGTTCTCCCCAAAGGAAGCAGTGAAACTAATTTACAAAAGACTTCTGGACTCTGGAAAGACACAATGAAATACAAATAAGATCACAGGTTGTTACAGAAATGTAGATTATTGGACCTTAAATTTCTGTCCCAAACAATGGCCACATCTGCAGCTCCAGAGCATATAGCCATCTCCTCTTAACCCCTAAATACTTTGGAGCCCCTCTTGTTTTGCCTGATGGATTTCAAACCAAAAGAATAAACCCATAGCAGTGAGATACCTAAAACCAGGGGTAATTTTAAGAAGATTTACCCAAAGCCAATTGCGCTGAGTAGGAAAAATCTACTCTTAACTTTCACTGGATGACTTTATCTACTCCTCATGTATTTTTTACCCCAGCCTTTCAAACTGAAATTCTGAGTTTGTACAGCCCCGGCTCCTGTGCCTGCAGGGAGGTACTTATATCTGTGTCCATTTTGAAGCCCACAAGGCATTGTGTCAATTCTAAGCCTAAGTGCCCAGTGCCTTTCCTCCTGTGCACTCTGCTGCACACTGGAAACACTGCCCCACCTCCAGCTCTGATTTTCCTATTCAGGACAGCCAGCATCTGCCATATTTTCCTCCTGATGTCTGAAAACCACAGATCAAGAGAGAACTGCTTCTCCCTTGAAGGAAAAATAGTTTTTGCAGGTGATAGGTTTCACCTATCTGGTAACATGATGAACATAGAGGCAGAAATTGAATTAGAAATGAATTTTCAAGGGGAATGTTTCATGTACCACTTAAATTTTGTTTTGTGTTTCCTGAAGTCACTATAGTGACTATATTTACTATCATTATTTCTCTATTTTCAGCCAATAAAAATTTTGTTGGTTATAACATTAGAAGAGAGTGCAATATACTAAAGGCTTTGGGATCATTCTGGAACTGTGGATGCTTTATTTGCTTCCTATTAATTTTTCAAGGGTCCTTGGTTTATCTTCCCTTTAACCCAAGTTTGATTTGGATCATTGAAAAATAAAATAAAAAAAATACCCCATTAACAATGTTTCAATGCATGGGATGGTTTTCCAGTAGCACATGTTCTATGTTTTGTTACTTTAAATAGATGCAGTTTCCTTTTGGGAAGATCCCCTCTAGGAAGATTTCTTTCAGGATGCCTGAATTCTAAATGTCCTTTCTATATAAGTACACAATATGGAAAAAAAACAAACCTAACCCATGCCTGAAAGAATTGAATTTGGCATTTAAGAACACTGAATGAGTGGTGACAAGTTTTGTAGTAGTCATATACAGCAGAGAAGTTCTTGTGGAGAAGTGGAGTAGAAGCTGATCTGTTCCTAGCTGATTTGGAAGATATTAGATCATCTTCCATAAAGTACTAGATCCAAGTACTGATACTTCCAATTTGAAATCACAAAAGGTATGAAAATCTACACAGCTACAGCCAATAGTTATGCTGCTTCCCCGAGGAAGTTTTGCTTTCCTAACTAATTTCTCTGGAATTCAATTTTTGCACTGGCATCTGTAACACTGATTAGAATCTTACAAAAAGCCTGTCCTGCAGTCTGAATTTTGTCCCAGACTCACAACTGCTGTGAATATTCCCCAGTGAGTCCCTGCTCATGGGCAGCTTGCCCTTTTGCTTCTTGAGACAGGTTAAACAGAAAACCAGCTCCTGCTTTTTCCACCTTTCTGCTCTTTCTCTTAAGGTTCTACATTTTCTGATGTTTCTGGCTATTTCCTTCATGGATCTTCCCAAGCTTTTTTCCCAGCTAAGTGTTTCATATCATTCCAATGCTTGCAAAAAAAACCCTGTCAATTAATATCAGTGGTAAATTGCCTGCAGAAAATGGGAAAAGGGCAAGTTTTCTTGAAGTTCTGAGACTTTCTTCTTATCAGGAAAGTCTCAATACAACAATGGCTCTCAAATCAGGACTGGAGTCCCACATAATCAGTACCTGGTGGCAGGTGTTCATCAAGATGTTCCACTTAACAAAAGGTTACCTAACAGACACAAGTTTGAAATTATCACTAATAATACGAATGAGAGCAGAATTTGGCATCATCACTGCTAATCTTCTTCCTTTGGTTACATGTTCCTCACTGCACCTGGAAGTAAGAATATTGCTTGCTGACTTCTTTCATACTTCCCCTCTCATTTTTTTTTTTAAAGATTTCTAATTATTGCACTATGAAAGAGAAGGGAAAATACCAAAGACAGGCATGAGGTGGAAAAAACATCCCCAGGATTCAGCATCAAGTAACTTGTCAACCTGACTGCTTTCCAGACACATGAAAAAAATTGTCTGAGAAAAGGAGAGGAAGAAAAGAGAGATAGAGAAGGCCCCTTTAATCTAGCAGAAAAGAAGCATCACAGGAACCAAATTGAAGCCAGGCTCATTCATATGAAAAACAAGTCAGCAACAAAGATGATTAACCACTGGAATAGTACAGAGGGAAGTTGTAAAATTATTTCCTATGTCCTGGTGTCTTCAAATCAGGACTGCATTCTCTTCTGTAAAATATGCTTTGATCAAATAAATTCCTGGACTTGACACAGAGAAGGTCAGCCTAGATAAGGTGATCATTCCTCTGAACTTAAAACTCTACAAATACATACCTTCAGACTGTGGTTGCAGTCTGGCACAGGGACACCAGAAATTTTGGTCCAAGGCCTGGTTCTGTTACAGATTTCCAGAATAATCACAAGGAAATTGTGTAGTTTATCTGTGCCTCTGTTCACCATCTGTAAAGTCTGGAGAATAATCCTTCTCCTGTTCAGTTTTTTTAGCTATTTGGGGTAAGTGGGAAAGCAACTAATTTGTTGTGGGTCCAGACCTTTCCTAAGGTCTGCAAAGGCAAGTCTGTAAGCATCATTGCAAAGCATAGATATCCATAAGGAAAGCTTAATGGCACAGAAGGAAAATATATTAGTAGGGAGATAAAGAAATGCCTTTCTTTCAGCAGTAGCCCCCTGAGTGCAGTTAAAAAGCAACATGTCAGAGTGTGGGGATGGTCACTCAGCCAGAGAATCATGATTTCATCTCAGGATGCTTTTGGATACAAATAGCATCCAAGGCCTCTTCATGAGGGAGCCTCTCACTTCCCCCAGTGGCATTTGCAACATTGCAGTCATTTATGTTCTCAACAACAATAATCAAATGACCAGTGTCTGTCTCTATCCATGCACAATGAAGACTTGTGCTCTCTTTGCTTAGCTAAGAAACTTTGTGAGCTTCTGCCAAGAAGTGAAAGACCATTTTGAATGGCTGGAACAAATTCAAACCATGTCCCAGGGAGCTGGAAGGCTCACAGGCCTTGTCCACTGCCCAGCTGCTCCTCCCTTCCCTACATCTTCATTGTGTCTGTCAGTCTCTGTCACTGCTGGAGCTAAAGTAGCTGCTGCTCCACCTGGTAGCTGGACACTCTTCCAGCCTTGCCCTTCTCCTGTCACTGGGGCTGAAATAAGAATAGCCTTTCATGGCATGCAGGAAGTGTGTTTTAGGAAATGAGCTGAGCATGAGTGAGGCTTCAACTCAGCCAGGGAGAAAAGGGCTGAATCCCAGCTGGAACCTCTGAGCAACATCTCAGCGAGTCTTTATGTGAGCTGCTCTGAGTTATGTCTGCTCCAGAGAGAATGGGGACTTACACAGAGGTCTGTGCTAAGATTCCAAATACACAAGATATGCTCTCTGCTCCAGAAACTTCTGGATTCACTTCCTGATCAACATAGACCTGAATAAGTGTGTGTATATATCTACATATCTATATCCATCTATCTATATATATATAGACATATACACCCCCATATTGACATACATATGTATGACATACATAACAACAGAACAACTACATAACAACACTTCACATATTAAGGGGAAAGGACTTCTTTATCTATGAAAATTATTTCTTTTTCTATGAATATAACTACTTCAGCAGTGAGATGTACTCCTAATAAGATACCTTCTTTAACTGAGAAAACAGAGCTAGCAGAAGAAAGCAGTAGCCACTGGCACACAGATTTTCTTGGGCTATGCTAAGGGTTGTGAGGAGAATCACAGGCACCATTGTTCCCAGCTCCCCACTACTCCTAAACAGCCTCATCAAGCTACAAGCACGACCAGTGTCTGAATAATGCACTGAAAAATATATGAGGGTTTGGAGAAGGAAAGGAAGAGACACCTGTTGGGATGAGTGGAGAACCATATCAGAAATACAGTAAGACACAGCTCCACAGAGCTAAAAGATGCACTTGTGTTATCCTGCCAAGCCCTCCTTGGCACAATGTCTCTGTATGTGATCCTCTTAGTCTATCGCTGGTTCCCTGCGATATGTTTCTATCTGGTTTCTCATGGCTGCAATAAACCCTGCTCCTGCACTAATCTCATTTTACAGTTCCACTGACTTGAAAAGAACCCAAGTAAAATTGCTGTGCAGTTTCTGCTGGCGCTATTATGGCTGTATCACTTGTCAGCTTTCATAAACAAGATAAATATAGTTAAACTTAAAGCATCAGATATGAAGAAATTTGGCATGTTACAGCAACTCATCAGAAATATTTTTTGACAGGTACCTTATAAAAAAAGAAACAAGAGGATGCCAGAGAGGATATAAAAACTTCAAATTTCTCTTTTTGCAAAATTCTTTTGCCCAAGGAGGCTGCAAGAACTCAGTACACTGCCTTTCCAACACCATTAGCTAACTCTTCTGTCCCACACAGCAGCTGGACCTGCACTGACTCCCTAAAAGCAGTGAGTTTTGATATCAGTCTCTGTATCTTAAAGAGCCTCTCATCTCAGATTGCATCACTGGGATCCAGCTACCTGGAAGATAAAAGGCAGAACATCAGGAGGCATGCAAAGCTGGAGGGAGGGGGAAATGTAGCAGGGAAAACCCCTACTCACAAGTGATTTGTGACATGTTTCCACAGCAAGAGGACATCCCATCTGAAGGGCCTGTGTGAAAGATCATCCCCCACTCTTCCCCACACAAGTGGTTGGTTTGTGCCTCCAGCTACTCCATGCTCCAAAGAAGACAAGAATCTCCCCTCTAGCACCTGCATGAAAAGACCAAGCCCAACAGATCTGCCCACGCCCAGGAAGTGCCCACGCTCTGCTCCCTTATCACCTCCAGGTGATGGAGCGGCGAGATGGGGGAAGGCAAGAGCACAGCCCCACAGGTGCTGACCAGGGCGTGCCAGTGTGCAAGGGACAGGGGGATGCCTTGCTCAGGGACAGTCCGTGGGGTGAGCCTGGGCTGCCCCTCGTTGTCCAGCCCTGAGCCCTCTCAGAGCACGTGGAGGTCAAAGCAGCATCAGCCAACACGAGTCAGCTGTGCTGAGACCTGAGCCCATGGCTCCAGGGAAGGTAGGTGCTTCCTAACATCACAAGGTCAGGACTCTTCCTGGAAGAGATTCAGGGATCACAGAAGAGACTGTATTAACTCCTAGCCAGGGAGGAAAGAGCCTGCCCTAAAAATAACTGAATTATAAAGGCCAGTGACAGAGGTCAAGACATGGATGCTCAAAAGATGAAGCAGCTGGTTTCTTCCACAGTCTGAGTGCAATCCAATCAGTAAAGTACTCCAACAGAGATATACCTCTTGTCACTTGTGCAACTGTAAAATAGAATGTTTTTGTTTTGTTTTGTTTTGTTTTGTTTTAAGAAATACTAGACACCAAAGTCTTGACAGAGATACTTGTGGAGAGGGGAGCTGAGATCTGGTGGTGGCAGACTGGGCAGACAGGTCAGGATGTTATGATCAAATAATGATCTCTTTGTCTTGTGACATCTTGCTTTTGAGGAAATAATATTTTCTCTCCACACCTATACCTCTCCTATTGCAGTAAAGAGTGACAAGCATGCAGTGTTTCTGTGGAAACTGATGGGAAAATATTTTCCTGCATTAAATTAGGGTAAAGCAGTTATCTTCAGCCATTTCCATTTCCCTCAAATAAATAAAGGCTCCCATTAGAGTGGTGTCTAAACTGTGTGACAGATATTAATTTGAGCCCTTTTTTGTAGTCATGCTGAAGGTTCATCCAGTTGATCCATGTATAAATAGACATCTTATCCTTAGAGATAGGAAAATACAGGCAGTTCAGGGTGATGCCAGGCTCTTCTGGGCTGCAGGCTATGGAGCCCATGCACTTCTAGCACTGTGGATCTTACCACATTGACTCCAGACAAACATCTGCAGTCTCAAATGAGTCAGAACACACACAGCTCTGGCACCTCAAATTATCTGATGCCCAGGAGCAATCAGGGAAAGCAAGTGAGAAAGAAACTTCTAGCTGAAATGAGCTCACTACTCTTCTTACCACCTTGGCTCTAGGAGGCTCCCTACTGCTCTCCTACTAGATCTTCTGACTGTGGTTTTAATTAGTGACATACTTAATATTTTACATAATAGAGAAAGTATTTTTCCACTGATTAGTTATGCTAATTTCTGGAAACAGCAATAAATAGTCTAGAAATAATACATGCTAGTACATTTCTTTATATGACCTGTCATATATCTGCCAGCTATTATTGATCAGAATATTAATTTTATAAGTGTATGTACTTTCTGAACATTTACAACCTTCTTTAAGCTAATTAAAAGTCACTTTTCATAACAGACAATAATTTACTTCATAAAAATATATAGTCCCAGGAACATTGGTGAGTAAATGGTCTCAATCTGTCCATATTTATACAGAGTTTTCCAGATCTTTAAGGCCTATAAAAATTAAACAAGCTGAGTGTGTGTCTTGGAAGGGTAAGAAAACTCTCTGTCATTCATCTTTGGTCATTGTAGTAAGTCATATGCCAGAGAATTTGTCATTGAAAGAGAAAAGGAAGAAGAGCTCTCTCCCAGGAGAGAAACCTTCACTTTTTTCTCATACACCATTTCAAGTCTTACCAATGATCTTATTAACATGACTGCTATCATTGTTCAGAGTTGTCCTGGGCCATTGAACTGGAGCTATGGTAGGCAAACTGGATTTAAACCAATTCTGCTTTCCTCAGCCTCTCATCTCTCATGTGGATCACAGCTGGGCTGGACCTGAGCTGGCTCTGGTGGGACAGATCCATTGCTGGATCACAGCAATGCCTGTGACAGACCAATCCTGTGTGTGTGATAGAGAGCATGAGAGCTGGGGAATCTTGCCTCAAAAATATGTTTAAAAGTGCCATCCCACTTTAATTCCCAATGGCAACCATAAGCCATAAGCCTTGTCTCTCCCTGTTTCTCCTCCCTGGTTTAGGAGCCCTGGTAGCTGCTTTGTCCACAGTTACAGAACAGCTCCTGAGATGTGAAGGATCCTGCTTGTTCTGGTTATCACCACGTGCAGCAAGCGGACACGAACCCACAACATCCTTAACTGCATTCCACTCCAACCAAAACACAAGCACTAATCAGATGGTTACAAAGTCCTTCGGCTGCTTCAGATGGGAAGATTTATGCCCTCAAAGACTTGGCCAGTCCCTTATTATTGCTCATTCATTGTGTTTGCCTACAAGTTATGACTGCTCTTCCCATTTAATTTTTAATGTAGCTGTAGCCTTGGCTCACTAAGCTCCGGGAAAACTGTAAAGGCACTGGCTGTTACTGTGAACCTATAATCTCTTGGCAAGAGCAGTGTGGGCAAGCACAGTCTCTCCCCATTGCTCAACAGTTCACAGCACCACACTCTGACCCTTTTGCAAGAACCACATTTTTCTTCAAAGCAAGTGTGCAGTTTACATGTGCTCCAGTCAGATGCTTGAGCAGGAGAAAAGAGTAAAATTTCCCAGATGAGGCATATGGATTCAGTGAACATCTGAATCACGCATTGTGGGTCTACATGTGGCTTATTGCAATTCATAAAGCTCATTGCTATGCTTACCTAGTGGTTCTCTTCTGTTTCATTTTTCCTGAGTGCTCATTATCTCACTATCAGTAGTCTAGGTCCTGAGGGGAACTTTAATAATTCTGTTCCTTAGATTTTAACCCAAAGCAGATTATATTACTATGGTATTGGAATTTAGTGACTTAAGATGTTTTCTATTCCAGTTGTTTTTATTTAGGCAGCATATCCCAAGTGGTCTCTCCATTCTAGCTTGCTATCACTTAGACCTCCTTTGCATTACTCAAACTGTGAAGCCTGACACCAGCAAACCACCTACACAGCAACCACCATCAAACTTGGGCAAATATTTCACATATAGGCAGGAGATGGTTTGCCTACTGCCAACAGTACAGTGTACTGGCATATGCTTGTAGATGCCTCTGACCTGGAGCCCAGGTTATTCACCCAAAATGCAGGATATTCCTGCATGTTTCTGAACCACTTAGAATTTCCAGAAAGGACCAGAAGTGCTCAAAATGCCTAAGAAAAGGCAAGAATGGAGAGATGCTATTGCAAATACTCATGGTCTGGGTTAAATTTCTGTTTTTCCCAAACGACTGCTTTAGGCCCAGCAGCTGCAGCATTTCTGGTAAAGTGCAAACCACATCAGAGGGAGCAGCAGACACCTGGTTTTAGCCAAGGAGATGGTGCCTCCTTTTTTCCCTCAGCAACCTGACCTAGCATCTGTCCTTTCCCCCCATAGTCTGGTGGCCCCTTCAAACCCTTCACAAAATTCTGCCAACCACACCATGAGCAAGCTGAACAGCAAAGAGCCCTTTGCTGAGGCACCAAGATCTCATCCCATTTAATATTTCACAGGGACCACACCTTGCTTCTGTTGTGGATGCTGTTCCATGACATCCATCCCCCACTGGCTGAAAGGCAAGGTTCCCCAAAGCCTTCCCAGACACTGAGGGCAGTGTCCTGCCCTAGTGCATGTCTGAATCACAGGAAACTCAAGGCAGACCCTGGCTGGGGCTGGGGTCCCCTTGCTAAGCCTTTGTTCCTAGGTGAGAGAGCTGGATGTCTCAGCACTTGCAGGATGCCCAGCACAGGTCAGTCAGAGCAGGGAGCAGCTGCAGCAGCTCTAGCCCACATCACCCCTGGCAGAGAGGCCATGGCAGTGGGGGAGAAAGCCAGGGTGCTGCAGCTGATAAATCATTCACAGTGGCTGCAGGACCCCGTGAGTGAGGGAGTGAAATGTGGCCTGAGCTCCTTGTTGCTCCTCCATCGCCTGCCAGCGCTGTGCCAAGAGCCCAGCCACAGGCACCATTCCTGCGCTGTGCATTTGTGGGCACAGCCCTTGAGGCCAGGAAAGATGATTTCCTTCATCTATCCTTAACTCATGTTTCGTGCAGCACCACAGCTCGCATGACCCACAGGATCCACAGCCATCGCCCCAGGTACTGTAAATATTCAAAGTTCAGTTGGACCCAGCAGGTGCCAACATTTCCCTTCTTACTCTCTGCAGTTTCTCACCATGGGCAGAAAACTGACTGATTAATAATTACAACAATTAACTTTCACCAGATAATAGGGAAAAAACCCATCAGATTAGGTATGTGGTTGGCAATCTGGGGATCATCAAAAAAATCAATGTAGCCAATAAAAATGAAAGCACTAATCATTTGTTTATCAAATGAGTTATTAAGTGTTTCATGCATGAAAGACTATGCACTGTGATATCAAATAGAAAGCTAAGGGAACTTAAATAGTTTGGCTCTGCCCATACAGTGGTGGTGAAATATGTCTTCCACTCTTTGTTAACTCTTAGAAGTTACTATTGTGTCTGAAAATTTTTGAGTGAAATTATTTTAAGGGACAGACTTTTTTGTGGAGTCCAAATTATTTCCTCATGACATCTGTGCACTTTTTGGAGTTAAAAAATCAGCTTTGTGTCAAAAATCAACCTGTTGGAGAGATAGGTTATGGCTAAGGATAATATTTTCAAACCTGATTGTCCAAAACTAGACTTGTAGAAGGAGAAACTAACAAGAACTTAAATCAAGGGCCTAACAATTTATCAGAAATATATTTATTTGTTTTCTAAACAGAGCTTGTGCTTTAAGTCTGTGGATGAGAAGGGATAAGGTGTCAGAGAAAGTCCCCAAGAGCAGCAAATCAGGACTCTCTAGTAAAAATTTGCACTCCTCCTTCCATCTAAGAGCAATCACATGGATAAATGGTAGGAAGGAGGGAGAGCATTTCACACTTGAAGTTGCTGAAGAGACACATTGATGTCATCACATAAACTTAAAAATGTTGCTGTCCAAAGGACCTAAAATTTTTTAGTATTTCTGAACACTGTTCCTCAATATATTCTTTGTCTGTGGCATCATTATGCTTTCTCAGTGAGAAATTATTATGGAACAAATTAAATTTGAAGC